AGAGTGACTGCGTATGTATAGAGACAACACCACCCATATACATACATATGTCAAATCCCATACTGTCCACATATGTTTATGTCTGTATGAGCCCCGGCGGACGAGCAAGTGTGTATGTGTTTCTGCGTACTTCATCGGGTGTACGGACATGCATCTATGTTTGCGTTAGCATGAGTGATATCACGACGACGATTCCCCCCACCCACTTCCATAACACCAATACACGCAATCTACATAAACCCAAAACTTTTAAAAAATGAATCAGTTTGTCTGACGATCGCAAAAGTGTGAAACCCAGGGTCACAAACTCATATCAATCCAACCAAATATATATATATATATATATATATATATATAATTTTAAACGTTATTTTTAGTGGATACTCGCATTTGAGTAGACGTTCCGTTTATTAATTAAATAGTACATGCATTCGTTTTCGTCTACCGTCTATTTGAGAAATCTTAAAGAAAATTTGCGCTCTCCGGGTAGATTTTGAACCTGCGTCCTCCAAGGCAGAGAGAGCTACCGTTAATATCGTTATAGCCCTAACCGACTAAGCCACGGAGTACAGTCGCCCAGGAAAGGCCAAATTTGTGACTTTAAGCGAACATTACTCATCATAGATCCCTTCAAAAGTTTTCATATATGCACAGCTTTGTATCCAGACGTAAACAAAGCTAATTTTAGAATGGATTTTTTTTCTTAAACCGACATATTTTTAACAGTGTGAACGTGACTTAACGTTTAACGGCTGGTAACGTGAAATCAGCGCGCTGAGTTGGATATTCAAGCATATTTTGTTACATCCACTTCCGCGGAGATAAACTCAACAATGAGTTTTCTGTGGTATTTAACCAAACTTGGATAAAACACATGTGTACGTATGCATGTGTGTGTATATGTGTATGTGTGTTTGTGTGTGTGTGTGTGTTGCAACCGGATTAAAAGCAAGTGTGAAAATGAAAGAAGAAAAAAAAAGAAAAATCCTAAAGTAAAATTTAAGAAAGAAAGAAAGAAAGAAAGAAAGAAAGAAAGAAAGAAAGAAATCAAAACATGCCAGCGAGTGATGGCTAACTAAATACATGTTCGCTGGTGAAGTAATCACAATTCTTATTTATATATGGGGTGTAACAGCAAAATTGTCCAAGTCATGTAACAGCAAAATTGTCCATCTCACAAAATATTTAAATTTCTAAAAAAACAACTTAACTGAGTTTCTTCTACGTTTTCATATATAAGATGTTTCGCCATCTTGGTATCATTTATCGTAAGAATAACTGAAAAACCCTTTGATTTATTGAGCTAAAAAGAGAAAAAGTTAGAATCGTCTTGTGCCAGCCTCACTGTCTTCCTAAAATGAGTAATGACGAAAGGGAAAAGGTCATTCAGGCCTTCAGTAATGGTACCAAGATTCATACTCTGACTTCCATCTTCAATGTCCATTCAAGAACCATCAAGAGAAAGGCGAATAAGTTGTGAAAAAAGTGAACAGTAGAGAGGAAAACTGGATCAAAAGGTCACAAGAGCAAGAGGGATCATCATTTCAACTTAGATCTAAAGAGAACAATTAGAAAAGATCCAACTCAATCCATAAGCTGTTTGGCACGTGAGAATGGAGTTTTAACTATGAAAGTCCAAAGAGCAGTGAAAAAAGACTTGAAAGTGAAATCGCACATGAAACCTGAGGCGTCTTGTTAATCCAGGACAGAAAGTTAGACGGTTAAAGAGGGGGAAGATCATCTTGAATAAGTCGGAAAATGATCCCGAAATAATATATATTTGAACTTTATTTCAATCCTTTATGAGCTTCCGATCCTTAGCTATGATTAATTAATGATGAACATGTCATTTTCGTTTATGATCGCTTTCATCACATTTCTTCTGTTGGAGAGTAATTATACATTCTTATTGCTCAAAGTAGATTCCAATAGTATTATAAAAACCTTGGAGAATTCCAATAAGATATCTTTAATCATTTCTACGATAGAACGGTTCAGAGCTTAATCTAAGCAATGGACAATTTTGCTGTTACACAATTTGGACAATTTTGCTGTTACACCCGCAATTATGCATATATGCTTGTGTGTATGTGTGTGTGTGTGTGTGTGTGTGTATGTGTTTTATAACAAAGTACATTTGAAAGGAAGAATAAAAATTAAAGAAATCTAACTCTGCGTTATGGATAGTCTCCTGATGTCTGCGTACCGCGACAACTGAGTTAAAACAGTGAGTGCGACAAACCCTCATTGGGTCAGGAGATTAGTGGGAGGGAGAAAAATAATTATTTTGCCGACTAAGAATTATGAGTACTTTCAACATTTTTGGTGGTAACAAAACACTCCATGTGATTACCACAGGTTAAAAAAAAAAAAAAAAAGAAAAAAGGAAAGTGAAAAAAAAAAATTAAGAAAGAAAGAAAGAAAGAAAACAGCAAAATATATCAGCGGGTGATGGCTAACATCTTCCACATGTTCGACATATTCGTTACTGAAGTATTTGCAATTTTTATCTATGTATGCATGTTGGCGTTAATGTTGAAGATTGGTAAAATATTGCTGGAGAAAGATCTGGCCGATTTGGGAACACTGCAACGATTTGGAGCAGAAGAGAACTGATCATTCCAATCGCGAAGGGAGAAATAAAATCTGTCCCAAAGCTATTAGGATACCAACACACTATTCAGTATTTGTGGAAAAGTCACTCTTTCGGTGGCTGGTTTAGCCACTCACGGGAGATCACGCCAGAGAGGCCAGATGCAAACTCCTGTGAACGCAACCCTATCAAAAAGCTTACTTGTACGAGTTTTGTAACAAGGTTTGTAAGTTGCGAGACGCAAACATCGCACGATTTTACACAGGGACAGTTTCCAACACAGGTAACACAAACTTTATGTTTGCCACCTGTGCGTATTTAAGAGAGTTTGTGAAAATGAAGTTGACCTTAAGAAAGAATAACTCAGGGGGCATAGCAGAGCTTTAGCTCGGCTAAAAGTTATAGAAATAATATTTTGAATGAAAAACACACACACACAGAGAAAAAAAACTACCAACGGAAGAGATGGTCTTCTACAAAGATATGACAATCATCATGTATGTAATCATACTTATTATAAAACCCAGGTTTTGTGTGTGTCTGTACGTTTATATATTGGATCGGATTTCCTACATTTTTCAACCGATTTCAACAAAACTTCACAGGACTACGTAAAATTACCTTGCGGTGGTTCTGACAGCGCCAAAAATTGGAAAAACACAATTGTTTTTGCACGAAATCATTTTGAAAACACGATTAAGAGGCATCGCGAGAATGAAAGGGGGACAACTCATATCGAGTTATACTTATTATAAAACCCAGGTTGTTTGTGTGTGTGTGTTCGTTTATATATGGGATCGGATTTCTTACATTTTTCAACCGATTTCAACAAAACTTCACTTTTTTTTTGCAGGTAATGTTTCTTATTGTCTTGCACACTTTTTTCTTTATTTTTACATTCAGAATGCTTTAAAAATTTCATTTACAAGACAATTGTTTATAATAAAATTCTATTCAATCGATAGACTCATAACGATTGAAAACAATGTTTTTGTTTGAGTTTGGGTTTGACCAATTTGTAAAAAAAACAAAAGCAAAAAAAAAAAAAAAACAAACAAAAAAACTAATTAAGACATGCGTGTCCGTCAACCTTAAACAATGATCTTTGTCAGTTTTATTCTTCAGTCTTTATGATGGTCGATACTTGATCTATCTCTTACTGTTACATCCCCGGGCAACGCCGGGCTCTACTGCCAGTTATGTATGTGTGCGGACTTTTAGAAGAAAGATTAATGAAAAAATAAAAGAAAAACATAAAATTGAATGTTATAGGAGAGTTTCGGTAACTAGGTGTCCTGTTTTACAAAAAAATATGATGATTGACATTCTCCAAGGAGTCGTGCTTTTAACTTATAAAACATATTTCGAGATTGAAATTTAATTTCTCGAAATTTCATGAAATTAAGCAAGTGGGGATAAAATATGTAAATGGGGATAAAATATGTAAATCAAAATATTTTCAAAAACGATTTAATTCATTTGTGTATAATTTCTGAAAGTTGCATTAAAATCCGAGAATTATTTGATTTTTGCAAGAATTTCAAAATCAATGTATTTTTCACATGAAAAAAGTGCTAAAACAGTAATTGTAAATATTACGTAGACTGCTGATGTAAAAAAAAATCAAGATTTTTAACTAAAATTTTGAACATGTTAGAAATGATTTAAAAAATTTAACATAATAATAAAAAATACTTTGGTCTTTCCTCTTAATAATAACATAAATATTCTGAAGATGAAACTTTGTCTGGTGCCTTTTTCCATTAATGTATACTGTTTTTTCAGCGAGTAAGTGCAGGCACCTATATTAGATCTATACGATAGTGAAGTGAGTTCAATTTTCATGTGGTGCCCAGTTCTCTTGACCCTGTACCTGACTTAAATTATTAACCATTAAGACTAAAGAAGCTAATGCGCTTTATACATCGTTAATCTTTTCAATTAGTACAAGGAATTTTATAAGTAAATCGTTAATTCGTCTTTAGTCTTTATTACAAACAAAACACAGAACCTTGCCTTTTCTTGTACGATCAACTGTCAGTATAGTTGATTAACAAGTCCCTGGTTAAATGGGAAAAGAAATAAGTAGATTGATATGATTGGCTAGTCTAGGTTTAATAATGTACAAGAGAGTTTCATGGGCAGTAAATAACGTCAATGAGTTATCGCGGGAAAAAATATCGACATGGCGATTGTGCGATGTTTCCCTGACTATTATATATATATATATATATATATATATATATATATATATATATATATATATATAGTTTGCATGAGCCAATAATGATATTAGAACTTCCGGTTGTTTAAGGCAACAAAGCAGTGTGAAGGAACTGCATGCGACAGACAGATGGTGAAACCTATTCAGGTTGTGACTAGAAACTTATGTTGGGCCAGGTTTTTTTTAAATACAGAGGGAGACAGATAGATAGAAATAGAAGGAGAGGAAGATAGAGAAAGAGAAGAAAGAAAATACAGAGAAGGTTTGAAGTGTTTGTGCGTTAAAAAGCCATTCGATTTGAGGTTGCAAGTCTATGCTGAGGGGAGGTTGTGCGGAAGAAGAGGGTAGATAGAAGGAAGAGAAAGTGAGAAGAATGTGCTCGTGCATGGTGGGAAGGGGGTGTCCATAAGCAATGTGGTGGGGTGATGAAGTCTTAGCCTTATTGTTGCTGCTATGAATACAGTCAGTGACGTAAAGGCACGGCATGAGGAACAAAGGTGATACAGCGAGAGGGAGAGAGAGAAAGAGTGAAAAAGAGGGTGAGGGAGAGAAAATAAAACACAGATAAGAGAGAAAGAAGAGAGCGAGAGAGAGAGAGAGATAAAAGAAAGAGAGAAAGGGAGAGAGAATATGAAGGACAGATAAGAGAAAATGAAGACAGCGAGAGAGAGAGAAAAACATAAAGAGAGAAAGGGAGAGAGAGAAAATAAAAGGAAGATAAGAAAGAAAGAAGAGAGAAAGAGAAAAAGAGAAAGGAAGAGAGACAAAATTAAGGCCAGATAAGAGAGAAAGAAGAGAACGAGAGAGAAAGACAGAGAGAAGGAAAGGGAAAGAGAGAGAGAGAGAGAGAAAATGAAAGGCATATAAGAGAAAAAGAAGAGAGCGAGAGAGAAAGTGAAAGAGAGAAAGGGAAAGAGAGAAAATGAAGGACAGATAAGCGAGAAAGAAGAGGAGAGAAATAAAGAAAGTAAGACTGAAGTTGAGAGAAGGTTTGTAGAAGAAAGTGCGACCACGAAAAAGAGAGAGAGAGAGAGAGAGAGAGGGTGATAAGAAGGAAAGAAAAGAGAATGCGAGAAAAGAAAACACGTGTGGACGTTTGAATCAACACTGCATAGTGACAGTCAATTTCACTTTTCAATGAGATCTTCAAATTTTTGTCTGAAGAAACATTTGAAACACGTAAACTGAGAGTCATCATGATATATATATATATATATATATATATATATATATATATATATATATATATATATAAATAAAGAATGTATAAACATAAAAAATGTCTTAAAATATATATATATATGTGTCTCGAATCTCCCGTCGAATTCGACGTATGAGGGTCAAGCAGATCAGTTCCTAGGAAATCGACAGCCCGACAACAGCACATGAGATTTGATTATAGTGGTGAAGGTTTCGTGCAGGACCAGCCAGACTTTTTGAAGGGCCGATTACAGAGACCTGGTGCACTACGTGCCACAAGGTCTCCAAACGACCCTCCGCAGGTTTTGAATTCAGAGTTGTCCTTCTTCTAGAACAGTTGCCATCTAAGGCTATAGAACCCAGTCTATTTACCCATAGCTGGAGGGAGAAGAAGAGGATTCACACCTTTCCCTAGGGTATTAGCACGTAAGTGAATGTAATGGATTCGACTGGAATTCGAACTCGGCTCTCCGATTCCTCAAACCAAGCCGCTATCCATTACTCCACTCATAATATATGAATGATAAAATACTATTTTAATGTATGCTATATTCATGGGTCAAAGTGCTTAATATCAAGCAAATATAAATGATCAACATCAATTGGCAACAGCCTGTTTCATGCTTTAATGCTATTTTCAGATCGGTTCGAGACGTTGAAATAATCACTAAATAACCTAGTCAAAGAAACTATAGACATAGTCCTCTAGAACGTATACAATGACCTCCCGTTCCCATCCACTAAAATTAGATCAACTATTATGTGAAAACGTCTATTCTGCACGAAACGAGTACATTTTTACGACCGCTGCGGTAATATTTATGCAAAAACTGACGGAATACTGATGGGTTCACCTCTTGGACCGACTCTTTTTAATTTCTATGTGTGTCATGTAGAAAAAAAAAGTCTTCAATTATCCCACCAAACCCACTATATACGTACGTTATATCGAAGGCATTTTGATATTAGCAAACAGGAAGAAAAAGAAGGAATAAAACAATCCGAAAGAAATGTTTGGGAATAGCTCTATTCTACACTTTACTTACGAACTCAGTATTAACAATAAAATCGTTTTAGTCGATTCCATCAGCCATAACTTTACCACCTCTCTTTACAAAAAGACTCACTAGCAGAAAATCTTGTTTACTTAATTACAAAAGTGAATGTCCTCACAGATACAAAATAGCTGTTATAAAAACATGATTTGCCGGGCCAAAGTAATCTCTCCTTCGGATATATTCTATAAGGAAATAAGCAACATTAAATAAACTCTAATCACCAGTAAATTGTCAACAAACAAATAAAATTAACCTTAAAATTTTGAAAAAATAAGACGCGATCCCTCCATGATGAAAGCAAAAACAGACACATCCTTAAAGTCATAATTCACCGATACATATCACTCAATAATCCTAAGAAACACCTGATATTTATTAGCTACTATTACAAATTTAAAACATTTAATTTAATTATTACTAGCAACATCGAATCTCAAAAATCCCCGAATGTAAAAATAATATTGTCTATAAATTTCCACGCCTGCCAGGAGATTGCATTTCGAACATTAATAATAAAAAAAAAACAACAAAAAAAAAAAAACAGCATTAAATACTTACATGCACCAAACAGTCTCACAGATTGACCTGTCACCTGTCGAAACACCGTGCAATCTGTGCACACATCGACCAGCGCATCATGGACGATCAAAATATAACTATCAATATGAGACAAACATTCGTGGATAATACCAAAATACTCCACAGCAACCAATGAAAGGAAAGACTCAAAACCCTAAAAGCTTATTATAGTAGTTTTAGTTGTGGACAGTCTATAATAAAAAAATTGCCATGATGCAATTCACTTCGTCAGAAATTTGGAAATGGTATGTTTATTTATTATATTTTTTTATCCAGTTGCATTTACCGGCCTGAATATTTGAGAAATCTTGCTGGAAAAATATGGGTCCTCCGATAGGATTCGAAACTGCAGCCGATTTTGAACATACACATTTGCCGATTCTCGACACATCCATATTTGCTTTTTATTAGATCCTAACAAAGACAGTTAAATTTGAAAATAACAATATGTCGGATTTTCTAAAACTAAATTGTTTTGTTTACGTTAGGACACGTTACAGAGTAGGTATGGATGTTTCGAGAATTGGCAGAGAAGTGTGGGTTCAAAAAGCACTATTTGTTTCACCGGAAGTGTAAATAATAAACAAACAATATGGCGTAGTAGCGATCGGAAAAGTAAGAAATACATACGGCTTGAGTGACGGTTACTATTGAAACATTTGTGATCGAACAAGTAACGCTGCTGCTATGATAAAACATGCATCTCACTATAACGAATGTGGATTCAAATATTCTTTATTCTTATTTCAGGTCAATGGAATCTTTTAATGCAATTTCTGCATATTCTTTGCAATGGAATATCTTTTGACTTGAAAAATTAGTAGTCAGTGGGCGAATATGGCAGATATGACAAAGTCTCGTATCCCAAGTCGGTGAGTTTCTACAGTGTCATCCTCTCAACATGTGATCGAGCATTTTCATGAAGCAGAATTAGAACTCTTCAGTTAACCAGTGCCAGTCGCATTTTCCTTAACTGAATGTGCATTTAATGCAGTTGCTAGCAGTAAATTTCGGCAGTAATGCCTTGGTTAGCTTCCAGAAATCTATAATGGAAAACGCCAATGGCGGTACCACCAGAAAGTCACTATAATCTTTTGGTTTTCAAAATTGTTCGATCAAGAAATGGTTCATTCGAATGAGTTCATGTGGAATCCATTTATTGAGATTCTTCACGTTGCCAATGTGGATTCAAATATTCTTTATTCCTATTGCAGGTCAATGGCGATTAATTCATTGTCAGAGAATTCCAATCTAAGAGTAACGATAAAACGTAACAAAAATACAATAGAAAAATTAGGTTGTTCAGAAAATAATGTCCGATTTTAGAATCAACATTTATTTCTGAATTAATGTCTTTAAATCAAACCAAATAGGAAGCCTGGACGTCTATACAATTCTAACATCCAATTACATTGTCATAAATCAGAATTAGACCTCTTCGATTAATCAGTACCAGTCGTATTTTGCTTAACTGAATGTCCATTTAATGCACTTGCTAGCAGTAAAGTTCGGCAGTAATGCCCTGGTTAGATTCCTGAAAGTTCTAGTAGATAACGCCAATGGCGGGGCTAGTAGACAGTCACCATAATCTTGTGAAATTTTGGTTTTCGAAATTGTTCGATCAAGAAATGGTTCATTCGAATAAGTTCATGTAGAACCCATTTATTATTCTTCACGTTGCCAATTTTCTTGAGATGGCCTAATATTATTGAAATGCTGTCATCCATTATCTGAGACATTTCTCTGTCGCTTTAACGTGTGTCTTGTTTTCACTAGTGTTTTCAGATGTTCATTGTTAATTGTAAGTAGAAGTCCTCTACCACCTTGATCGTCAAGTTTCTTATCCCCACTGTGGAACTTCATAAACCAGTGCCTTACCGTCCGATCACAAGTGGATCCTTCATCCCAGGCTCTATTAATGTTGGTAGCAATTTGAGAGGCATTATGACCAAGCTTGAACTCATGCTAAAAAAGTAAACGCATCTTTTCTTTTTTCAAAATGAAAGCGATTGATATAAAATTAACAAAAGGTTTTATAATATTTTAAAAAAGCTTATTGAAATTCAATGCGCGTCACGAAAGAACTATTGATATAAAATTAACAAAGAGGACAATTTAATCATTAGCAATGAGTGATATGTTTTTGTAAAACTATTATAATAATATATTAGAACACAATTAAAAGGTTTATTCTAAAAGTAAACATGAAAGTAAACAATGCAATCTGGTTTAAACATTCGTCAGAATTTGCAAACTAAATTTTCGTTTTTTTTTTCATCCCCCTCTTTTCTTCTTTCTTTACCAGCGGCACAGCTATGTATATAAGAATGTCTTGGAATGGGATAGCCAATTTTACTGCCTGCCGATATCTGATTGATAAAAGCAGCGATAGTACGAAGGTTGGTTTTCTAAATATTTTATGCGTCAGGACGAAAGAAATAATAAAAATGTGGAACTTTTGTTTAAAGAAACAACCCCCCCCCAAAAAAAACCCTGTTATCTTTATTCCGTTATCTTTTCTTTGAAATTTTATCAATTTTCTTTGAATTTATGTATAAAACTGGGAGAATTTATAAATAAATTTCAACAAAAACGATAAAATTGCAAAGAGAAAACAACAGAATGAAAATAAAGGAATTTTTACAAAACTCGCACAATTTTATTCTTTCATTCATCCCGAGAAACACCAGCTTAGCTGAAAAAGTATCAAAGATTTATTATTTAAACACACACACACACACACACACACACACACACACACACACACACACACACACACACACTTCTTTCATTTGTTTTTAATCTGATGAAGCCTAATAAGGTCGAAACGTGCAAACTAGCTTCAATGAAACGCTTTTCTATTTGCCATATTCTTCAAACGAACGCAAACACGCACACACACGCACACACAAACAGACAGACACACACACACACACAATACACACACACACACACAATGACTTCTTTTCATTTGTTTTTAATCTGATGAAGCCTAATAAGGTCGAAACGTGCAAACTTGCCTTTTCTATTTGCCATATTCTTCAAACGAACGCAAACACGCACACAGGCACGCACACACAAACAGACAGACACACACGCACACACATAAATACACACACACATATATATATAATGAATTAACTGGTTTAAAATATGTTTTTATCGCTACACAGCAATAACCATGTTTCAAAAATGGAAGCTAAAAACTTCAAATTTTATTTTGTAATCAAATTAAAAACATTAGTTCCATTTCATCTTCAAGCGAATATTTGAGTAACTTATTTTTTTAAATAACTGAGTTTTAAAGGCACACAAAATTTCATAATTCACTGTTTCCAAGGATACAGGGAAATCCAAACATTCAGGATAAGATGGAGAGCTTACTTCTTCCTTAAACGAATGACTTACAAAACGAAAACAACAAGGAGATTTACGGTTTTAACAGTAAAAAAGCAGCACCGTTTATTCATAGTTTGTCTGGTTTCGAAAATGACTTATTGGAAAAAATAAGTAACATAAATTTCCGTTAAAAGAAATGCTACTCTAAGAAACGCCTAGATAAAATAGTAAAAGACATCAACACAACAGATAAAATTTTAGTGAAATCCAACAAAACAGGAAACTTCTATAAAATAACGACAAAAGACTACAACGATCTAATAAATAAGGATTTACATATGAACTATAAAAAGGCAAATAATAATTACCTCAACATGGTGGAGAATATTAATACTAGCAGTAAAAAAATCACTGATAAACTGAAGATGAGTAGGTCAACTATATGAAAGAGAGTGCTATATAATCTTAAAGGACCACAAACCAGATTTCGAGGCTAATCCGACTACAAGGATAATAAATCCTACAAGACCTGAGATCGGAAAAATTAGTAAAATGATCCTTGAAAGGGTAAATCAACAAATTAAAGAAAAAAATAGGCATGAAACTTTGGATTAATACCAAAGACGTGACAAACTGGTTTACTTATATAAAAGAAAAAAGAACTGTACACTAATGCAATTTGATATTGAAAATTATTATCAATCAATATCTAAAGAACTGTTGATGAATGCGTTGGGCTTTGCTACCCAGTACACGGATATTACAGATGAAGAAAATAACATTATTATAAATGCGAAAAAATCGGTACTGATACATAAAGTGAGCAATGGATAAAGAATTCATATGACCACTTTGACATTACAATGGGATCACTAGACTCAGCTGAGTCTTCTGATCTCATAGGTCTTTTTATATTATAAAAGCTTACAGCGTACCGTGATATTAATATAACTGACATTGGTTTATACAGAGACGATGGACTTATGGTTATAAAAAACACTCTACTAACTTTAAAATCGATAAAATTAGAAAGATAATATATAAAGAATTTAAAATCATGAACTTAAAAAATTACGGTAAGCACTAAATTAAAAAAGTTAACTTCCTTGATATAACATTAGATTAAAAAAATACATACACACCTTATAAAAAACCCAATACCAAATCCTTTATTTATACACCTTAAATCAAATTACCCCCATCTATAATTAAGCATATACCTTTATTTATCAGAAAAAGAATAAGTATAAATTCAGCAAATGACAAAATTTTCGATGAACACATTAATTTCTATAATAAAGCTCTAAAAGATAGTGCCTACAAAAACCCAAAACTAACTTATATAAAAACTGAAAATGGAAAGCATAGAAAAAACAGAAGTAGGAAAATAATTTGGTATATATCCCCATACAACTAAATGGTAAAGAACAAATTAGGACAAAAATTCCTCGCATTAATAGTGAAGCACTTTCCTAGAGAAAGTAAACTAAATACTATTTTCAATAAAAATACACTAAAATTAAGTTACAGCTGTACTGAAAACTTAGAAAAAATTATTAAGAAACATAATGCTAATATCTTAAAATTAAAATTAATAATTATACCAAAACCCCCAAAATTTAGACAATATGAAAATAAAAACAGATGAAGATAAACAAAAATTATGTAACTGTAGAAACACTCACAAAATAAATGTCGCACGGAATCATTAGTATATCAATGCAATATCTCTTCTATTGAAAATCCTGAAAACATAAAAATTGTAACGTTTTGTAATTGTATTGCTGCCCCTTTTTCATGTAGAGAGTGCTTGTCTGTTTAGGAAGTCGCGGTTTTATGTGGATTTGAACGTTGACTCCAATAGGGAATATACATGGATAAATTGTCGCCAAAATAACGCCAAAATGAAGATAACACTGACATCTTATTTTAACAGATATGTTTACCAAAATTTCCCCAAAATATCTTTAAATACGAAAGAGTAAATTTATTCAATAAAATCGCCATTGGCGTCAACCACAACCTCCAGACGACTTTGGAATCTCCTGCAACTCTTCTGGGTGGTCTCCTTGTTTAAGTTGGTGAAGACTGCCATAATTTTTGCCTTCAGTTTATCTTTAGTGTAAGAAAGGGTTTTGTTGGTCTCTCGCTCAACTGCGCCCCACACATAATAATCAAGGGGGTTGCAGTCTGGGGAGTTAGGTGGCCAGATGTGAGGGGTGATGTGGTCGTAGAAATTGTCTGACAGTCATTATTGGTTTCTGCTGCCTGTGATGCATGGTGCAGAGACCTATTGGCAGACATAGTACCTTCCCACAGTCCCCCCACTTGATACAGGGCAGCACTACCCTTTCGAGGCA